AAAGTTTTAATATATTATTGATCTAGACCAAATATCAGCCACTATTTATCTAGAGAAATTTGTCAATATTTGGTCTAGTGAAATAGTCGTTCCAAATATAACATGACCTTGATTAATAGTCTGCTATTTTTGTTGTTGTTTAATTTCTCGAACATTTTACAATTCGATTATACATAATTTTGGCATTAATAATCAATTGATTAAAGCCCTTGAGCTGAAGCTCTCGGGCTCTATCACATTATTAATGCCTAAAATTATGTCTTATCAAATTGATATTTAAATATTATCGAGATTTAGATTCAACAAAAATAGCCGATTATTATCAAGGTCTTGGTATATTTCCCTTGATTATTAACTTGGTAAGTGAGGTTGGAAATGTTTGGTATAATTACATCGCCTTCCACTAAAACCCAGATTTGTCTATTATGACCCATTTCTAAATTACAGGTCACCGCACAAGTTGCACTTTTAAATGAAGACCATGATGGAGTTGGAAGCCTCCTCCCCCTGTATGACCGCCACTGTTTCATACCACCCTTAAAACTTTTGCGGTATAGTTATGAAATACCTCGTATAAGATATAAATTTCATACTTGACCATTCCGGACAGAAAATAAAATATCCACGAGAGTGTGGCAATTCCTCTGAAAATTTCCATTATTTATGGGATCGATCGTGTGACCAGTAGGTCGGCATCCTTGGAAGCAGAAGCAGCTCTCTCGCACCCCGGCCGATGCTCTTACTAGGTTACTGGTGTTTCGGGTGATTTATAACAATGCCATGATGACATAATACGGACGAAATTGCCTGCGAACGCGAAGCCCACAACCGCCATTAAACGGGAATGACGTTGTAAAAGCGTAATTATTGACCACTTGCAGCCGTGTTTTCTCGTCTCACTTTTTTCGGTAACATCAACATGTATAAATTTGAAAAAATCCATTTTATGAACTATGCCGTTTCATGTTTCATAATTTATAAAACTACAAGAGTATTTTTGTATTTTTTTAAATCGTTTTACACTGTCACAAGAAGTTGTTGAATGTCTTGGAAGATAATGGGAATATGAAGATAAGCTTGTGACCTTTTCAAAGATTACCTTAATAAGAGACAAAATAAATAATAGTTTCAGATGCATATGATATACCGTAAGGAACAATATTGGGGCCATTTCTTTTCTTGTTCTACCCTCAATTTCAACAGAAATAAGTCAACATCTAGTACTATAGGGGAGCTATATGATTATCTAAGACATTTTTAACCCTGCAGGCCGGGCGCCCTAGTATGTAACACGAAATAGGGAGCTGGGTCTGAGAGTTTTTTTTATTTATACTTTAAACAAATGTTGAGTAAAAAAAACTGAATACCTAAAATTAATGGACCTTTATTTAATAGAATACTAAAAAATTATTTTAAAATAACAAACATTTAAGCACAGACACTGTTAAAAAGATACACTAAAAAAATTGTACGGTCCTCTAAAAAAAAAAATTACAAAACACCAAAGGTTCCAAAGTTAAACAAAAAAAAATGACTTTATTTAAGTGCAAATAGTAACAATAGTTTTTATTGACTTTTGCCTTTTGAGAACACCGAAAACACCAAGCTTCAAGGTGGCGAAGACACAAAGATTTTTGGCAGAAAAATCTAGTTTTCGAGTCCTTTTTGCAGAAGTAGCATCTTTTTCTTTGTCCAGAAGGAGTTATTTGATTTTTCTGAACATTGATATGCCAGCAGCCTCTTGCCTTCTTTCTCTTACAGTTGGAGGTATATTCATTGCTAGGAAACACCATTGTAAATGTTCATTTGTCAAAGATAATCAAGTTCTCTTAGGTACAGTCTTCGGTCTATTTTGTAAGTTTTATTATGACAAGCATAAATAATTTGGGAGTTTACTCCCGCCATATTCATCAAAGCATAAAAAATTACCATGGGCCAACGCCTAGTATTCCTTGCAACATTACAGGTTGTCCCTAGTTGGTCCAAAGTATCTACGACACCTTTTGTGTGGTTATAATAAGTTATTATTTCTGGTTTACACTGCTCATTTGTAGACGCATCAATATTGTCATCGTGGTGTTAAATTGAGATTAGAATTACATTTTCATACGTTTTAGGTACATAGGATACAATTGTATTATTCTCTTGAAAACCGAATAGTAACGAATACGGTTTTCTATCTCTTGTGTTTGCCAATTCCAGTGGAAGTTCTCGTTTATTTTTTTTATTGTACCTACCTGTCAAGTTGCGATTGGTTCCAGAGATTGGTGTTATTAGTCTTTGAACAATGCTGCATGCATTATTAGACTGCTTGTACGGGCCTTCAGGATGTTGATTAACATACACTTCTAAGTTCAAAGAATAAGCAGTCGCTGAATCTACTAGGGCAAATATTTTTAACATGTAACGATTGGGTTTATTCGGAATATATTGTAGAAATGAGCATCGCCCCCTGAAAGCCTCGAGCTTCTCGTCAAGTGTTACATTTTGTCCAACTGTATATGATTTTTGACAATTATCTATCAACTCCAAGTCCATCTCTGTCCCATAGCTCTTTAGTATTTAGCCAACCAGCTCTGAGAAGCCCTGATAGATATAATAGGCCCAAAAAGCTTCTATTTCACAAATGTCGGTAGGTTATGCTCTTCTTTCTCTTGCGTAACCAGCAGATAGCGTAGATATAAAAAGATTGTGTTTGTCACTATATCATTTAATATATCATTTAAACAAAATAGAACCCAACATTCCATATCAGTTTTAGCGGTTTTCACATATTGTCTTAACACCTGGTAATCGAACGATAATATTTTCTTTTCTTGTTGTTACTGTTTTTGTAGGACATTGCTTTTTCCATCGGGCGATGCCATCTTTCCCGACAAACGTTGGTACTCAAGGAACGTTTTTAGAAGGATCGTTGTTTTCATCACTTTCATTCTCATCACAGTCTTGCTCCGATTCACTGTCAGCATCTCTTTCTTCAATAATTCTGGGTTTAGAACTGAGTTCCTGATCATTTGATTCCTCCCTCGTATCTACTTCTTCTCACAGCTCTTGAATCTTTTCTTGCTCTTTTTCATAACTCATTATCTATAATATTAGTACTGCAGACAAATAAAAACAAACAAAAAACCTATAACTTACCGAAATACAATATTTTTCTACAGAAAAATTAGTTACGCCAGTCGGCGTTATTAATAAATTTGTATAAATTTGTATAAATTTGTATAAATTTGTATAAATTTGTATAAATTTGTATAAATTTGTATAAATTTGTATAAATTTGTATAAATTTGTATAAATTTGTATAAATTTGTATAAATTTGTATAAATTTGTATAAATTTGTATAAATTTGTATAAATTTGTATAAATTTGTATAAATTTGTATAAATTTGTATAAATTTGTATAAATTTGTATAAATTTGTATAAATGAGTCTAATTTCTTAATTTCTACATGAGTATTTTTATATTTTTTAAAGGCATTTAACACTGTTTGTCACGAGCAATGTTTTTAAAGATAATGAGAATACAAAGATTAGCTTTTGACCTTTACAAAGATTACCTTAATAAAAGACAAAATAAATAATAGTTTCAGTTGCATATGTTATACCACAAGGAACAATATTAGGACCATTTCTTTTCTTGTTCTACCCTCAATTTCAACATGGTTTTCGCAGAAATAAGTAAACATCCAGTGCTATAGGGGAGCTATATGATCATTTTAGCACATCTTTAAATAACAAGGATTTAAATATTACTTTGTACTTTGATCTCTCGCGATCATTTTACTAAAGCGACCATTGACTGTTTGTTAATAAATTGTACTGAAGGAAGGCTAGATTAATGAGTGCATGCAATCACATTTAAATAAAATCAGTTAATCAATTAAGCAGCTGCAGGAGAACCGCAAGGATGAATATTAGGTCTTGTTTTAATCCTAAATTTTTTTAATGACTAATGCACAACTCAAAATACGAAAATTATATATGTAAAAGACACAATTTTTGGTATATCACTAAAACATGCATTTAAACTTTAACATATGTAATTTAGATAAACTATTTTCTTATTTAATTTACTTTCTTCAACTATTCTAAATAAATATTTGTGAGCTTCATCGATCTAGTTTGTGTTAGGTACTTTTTAATGTACCTATCTCATCTTCTTTTATTATAAATTCCAGACAAACTTTATCACTCTAACTAGAATAAAATTAAAATGTTCTGCATATACATCACTTTTTTATTTTTCTCAAAGCTAAAAACAACAAATCATTATGGTGACGAATATGTTAAAATGCATTTAGAGAAATGTTTAATTTTGATCTAGAGAAAGAATTAATATCTGTCTGAAAATCAAAATAAAGGAATTTAAAGCAAGGGAATAGAGGTAGCTAAAGAAAAAAAATCCATATCATGTGCTGATTCCTAGAAAGTGTGGCTACATTGACATTCGCATCTGAACACTGCTTTATTATTGCATTGTTTAGCATTAGTTTGTACACAACACAATTGCACAAGAATCATCTTAAACGATATACATTTTTTGTTTACTTCGAAGAGTTATTATTTATTTCCTTTAAATTTATCTGTTTAATGTCTTCTCGAAGAAGTGTAAAAGCTCTATTTTCTACTTTTAACTAACTAACCAATCATCTTTTTGCGTGGTGGTGTCATTCAACTTGTAGAACGTATTTTATCGGCTATGAAGAAACCCTTATATATCACAAGAGGGTGACGTAATCATTTTATTTATTTTAACGTTATGGAATATTTTTCCAGGCTTTGCGTGAGAATCAATATTGAGTGTATCTCAACAACACTCTTTTATTTGAGTATTTAGGTAAAAATATCGCTTTTACAAAGCTATTTTTGGACTTTTCTAACCTTAACGCAAATTTGATACGAAAACACTCAAATGTCAAAATTACTAATACAAAAATTCTTATTTTTTCTTAAAAAATTATAATAATAAAATCACAATAATCGTTTTTTATTACAGTGCTACCGACGCATCTTAGAACTCGAACCAGACAACATCCAAGGTCTACACAATCTCTGCGTGGTCCACGTAGAAAGAGGAAAGCTCTTAGAAGCCCAAACTTGTCTTCAGCAAGCCCACAAACTAGCCCCAGAAGAAGACTACGTTCTACGTCATTTACAAATCGTTCAAAATAGAATCTCAAAATTACATTTAAACCCAAACGATATAAATGAAGTAGACGAGAACTCGAAAGAAAAATCCAAAGTAGTCTCCAACAAAAGCATCGATGAAACGGATAAAAATACGAAACCGATGGTTTCAGGGGATTCAGAGGAGCAAAGGTATAGTAGCAGAGTTGTTAATACCGAACCTATGTTTGTCAATAATGTTGACAATATTGATGATTATGTGGGGTACGATGTTGTTGAAGAAGAGTTGGCGGAGACTACCGAGTATCCAAATAGTAGAATAGAAGCTGGAAGTGATAAAGACGATCCTTCTTCAGGAATGTCTTAAGTAAAGGATTAAGTATTTAAGTGTTGGTTTGACTGTTAGGTTTGTTAAAAAAAATGGGAGTTAAAGTTTAAAATATAAATTTTAATTCCCATTTTTCTTTTTTACTTAAAAAAAAATACCGAAAAAAAAAACCTAAAAAGTCGTTTCTATAAACTTTTATACCAGCCATTAGATGTAGTGTTGATTCTGTGATACTCAGAATAATCGTTTATAGCTATATTTTGAACCTTACCGACAGATATTGGTAAAAAATTGACTTCAACTTAAATATAAATGTATAAATCCTCTACAAGTATCCAAATGTGACTTAATGTTCACAAACACAATCATTCCCGTAATTTATAAAATTATATGATATGTAATGGATGGTTCACTAAAAAAAAGGTATTTAAAAAAACTTGAAAAGACTTACATGAGTGAAATAACTAATTATTTTAAGAAGCATTCAAAATAATAAATAATGTTTTTATATTTTAAATAGTCCTTTTTTTAGTGAACTACACTGTATAAGAATAATTAATATAGTATTTTTGTACATTCTGGAACAAAAGTAAGTTTTATTGAGGGATAATAATTAAAACGTCAATTAAAACTAATTTTTTTTTAAATTTTAAAAATCGTTTAGAATTAGAGTAAGAGCTGCAAAAAATAGTAATATCATTTTGAAAACATTTCTATTCTCAAAAGAAATTTGAAATAGAGTTAAAATTTTAAACACAGCTAAAAGGTACTCAAAAAAAAAAAGAAAAAAAGGAAAATGATTTTATGAAATGTTTAAAATTTAAAAAACAATGAAAGCGTAAAAATTATAAAAAATATTAAAATGTAAGATATCTTAAGTCTAGCTAATAATAGGAATATATGAAATTAGTCTCCTAAATGAACAGAACCTGTCTAGTTGTGTGAAAAAAGTGTAAAAATGATACGAGTGTTGCCATTGTTGTCATCTTTCATCATCGCTGTTCATCATCGTCGTTTATCATCATCATCGTTCGTCGCCAGTCATTTAGAATGATATCTAGGTTAACGACTTTTTAGTGATTAAAAGTAACATGATTTTTCATTGTCACTAACCCCAAATGACAGCTCAAGTTGAATTTCGTTTGACATGTTTGAGTTAAACCAATAAAAGCAGAAATATACGTTAATTTTTTCAACAATGTCACTATGCATGATTATTCATTGTCAATGACCATGTTAGTTCATAGCACCCACTCTATCACCTTTGTACCTTGTACAAATTTGTACAGATCCTTGGGTGAGTGGGTTCTATACCTTGTTGGATGAACCTGTGTACCTGGTTTGTTCTTGTCGTTGGGCATTGGGCTCCCTTATGGTGATCTCCGCTCTTTCCTGTATTAAAACCTCAAATGAAGTGTTAAAAGAGTACCTCTTGGTTATGTGGCCTGATCTCATGTCTAGCACGTCTCCTGTCACTAACCTTGAGATACTCATGTAACTGGCCTAATGACCATTTGTATCTCAGTTTACCTCATGTAAACCCTCTCATGACGGCCTACATCCCTCAGTCAATTCGCAAACCACTTATCCAAATTAAAATTCTTAACACTAACAGGTGGCGACATCTATTGCTAACTTTTGAAATAGTTAACCGTACCCTCTTAGCTCATCTACTCCCCATTTCGTCTTTTATTGACCTGAAAAAAATATGTCAACACAGTCTAAATTATGAAAACACTCTTAGTTGAGAGCCATACAAATATTTTGAGAGCAATCGTAAGTGCCCTCTTATGATGTCAGATATACCTTATTTAAGATGCAAACCATTTGTTCGGTTTCAATTCTCAACACTATTAGGTGGTGTCATCTAGCGGTGACTTTTGAAGTTGTGTGACCGTGCCCTCTTAGTTCAACTACTCCTTATTTAGCCTTTTATTAATTTTAAATTTCCGAGAAAAAATATGTCAACGCAATCTAAACTATGACAACACACATTTTGAGAGCAATCGTATATGCCCTTTCATGGCGTCAATCATCCCTTAGTCAAGTTGCAAACCATTTATCCAAGTTTGAATTCTCAACACTAACAGGTGACTTTTAAAGTAGTTTGACCGTACCCTCTTAGCTCATCTACTTCCCATTTATCTTTTTATTGGCCTCAATTTTGCGAGAAAATATACAGGGTGTCCCGAAATTAGACGGTCTTATTTTAACAGTGTAATCGACATCCTAAAATAGGAGTATCAGTTCATATGAACATAGGTCCAAAAACGTTTCGTTTTCGAGATACTGGGTGTTACAAGTGAAGTCTTGATTGTATATTTTTGTAAATATTCTCTAAAATTTCTTTACTCACCGGTTTTTCAAAGTTAAAAAAAAGTAAAATTTCTGATTCCACGGGCCTAATAATTATTGTTAACACTTTCGCATAAGATAACATCAACTTATTATAAACTTTTCAAATGCTTTTCTCTTGAAAATAGTGCTTCCTAGCGAGATGCAACAAGAGTAGCTTTATTATAAAGAAAATATTAGTTTTCCAAATTTTATAGTCAAAAATGTTAAAAACTGCCAAGAAAAAACTTAGGGCAATTTTACCCTAAGCCCCCCTAATTTACCCACCTATGAAGATGATAAAAAACTGGGATTCAGTCCATTAAATAGAGCGTAAAAAATAAGTATTTGTACAAAATTTCACTTAGTTATCTTTAAACGTTTAGAAAATATTTACAAAAATGTGTCATCAGGACTTCACTTTTAACACCCTGTATCTGGGAAAAGAAACATTTTTGGAACTATTTTTATATGAACTTTTACTCCTATTTTAGGATGTAGATTACGCTGTTAAAATATGACCGTCTAATTTCGGGACAAACATTTTCAGAGCAATCTATGTGCCCTCTTATGACGTCACTCATCCCTTAGTCAAGTTGCAAACCATTTATCCAATATTGAATTCTCAACACTAACAGGTGACTTTTGAAGTAATGTGACTGTATCCTCTTAGCTTATCTACTCCCCATTCAGCCTTTTATTGATCTCACAGTCTAAATTATCGCGACACATTTTTAGAACCATCATATATGCCCTCTCATGACGTCAATCATCCCTTAAATAAGTTGCAAACCATTTATCCAAGTATTAATTCTTAACACTAACAGGTGGCGTTATCTAGCGGTGACTTTTGAAGTAATGTGATTGTATCCTCTTAGCTCATCTACTCCCCCATTGTGCTTTTTATTGATCTCAATTTTCGAAAAAAAAAATATGTCAACAGAGTCTAAAATATCGCGACACAAATTTTTAGAACCATCATATATGCCCTCTCAGGACGTCAATTATCCCTTAGTCAAGTTGCAAACCATTTATCTAAGTTTTATTTCTCAACACCAACAGGTGGCGTCATCTAGCGGTAACTGTTGAAGTTGTGTGATTGTACCCTCTTAGCTCTTCTACTCCCCATTCTGCTTTTTATTGGTCTCAAGTTTCGCGAAAAAATATGTCAACCCAGTCGTAAGTTATGGCGACACTCTTAGTTGAAAGCCATACACACATTTTAAAAGCAATTAAACCACTTTTAGACATATAGTTCCGGGTTTACAACTATTTTTTACAAACAGGCTACTTTTTGTAATGTTATAATTTATTTTGTATCAATCGTTTTGTCCACATTAAAAAAAGATTGTAATATGATCGTAGATTCATAGAAACCGCTGAAAAATGTAAATATCTGGCCACATGACCTGAATCCGTTCACCGAAAGTAGCAAAACCAGATGACATAAAATGCTGGCAAAAGGATTGATGTCTGGAATAGTATATAACACACCGAGGTGGGAAGAGTTTCATTCCTTTCGTGAGATTAGTTAGATCACCGAGACGCGAAGCGTCGAAGTTAGCTATGATCTCGAGACAGAAATGAAACTTCCTATTGAGGTTTGTATACTATTTTATTTACAACCATCATATTTCGATCAAAGTTAATAAATCTCTGTTTCGTTCTGAACATACCTAAAATATTACGTTTAACGACAAATTACCAAGTGCGCGGTTTTCTTAGAATAATCAAGTAAATATATTGTTACTGAGATTACGGGGTAAACTGTCACCAATATAAATAAACGTCAGATAAAGCTGGATATTAAATTCGCGAATAATAAATATCAATAAGTAGTTTGTTGTATTTTAGTTAATTGTTGTTTTTTATTGTTTGCCATTAAATAGGTATTATAAAATTTGTCAAAAAAATGTGTTATTTTTTTAAATATAAAAAATATTCATTTAGAATAGATGAAATGAGGGCGGGAAGTAGAGGTGTGTAATGTGACACTTCCCAACCTTCAATGACGTTAATAATGACAACATTACATATATGGTTGTAAATAAACATATATTTTATTGTCAGCAAAAAAATCATCGATAAGCAACAATGAGTTTCACGGGCTACATGACTGCTCTCACCACCGGGATATAGTACATGTTGTTCACCTCCCCTACCCTGAATCCAAACTGCAAATGGTCAGCAAAAAAGATGTGCCGCTTAGTTAGTTCAGTGTTGTAGGAATTACAAGATTGATTTTACATTATTCACGTGAATTCTGATAGATTCAGTATTTCGTTGAATGTAATTTGTGCATATTAACTATTATTTGCTAATCTATAAAAATATCTTTAAAAAAAATTCTAAGGAATTCTAAATTTTTGTAATTCATCAATTTCCAGATATTCATAAATGGTATTAATGATTGAGATTAATTAATAAACATGTGGATTGATGAATATATTTTTACTGATATTCTTCGTAAAACTTACTATTTTTCCCGGAAATAGAGGTATTTTTTAAATTTGATCTCAAAAGTGTGATTGACGCTATCAATATTGAAAAGTGATGTTTGAATATTTTTTTATTATAAAGCTTCTTTATTTTTTCTGTATAAATTAATACTGACGTAAATAATGGTATAATTTTCCTAGGAACTAATACAATTTAAGATTTAAAATGAAAATTATATTGTATTTTAAGTTTTCTTTGTTGTCTAT